CACACACAAGGATGGTTCCAGAAACACAGGGAGCTGCTTTTTACTGCTATGTGTGCTTTTGGGTGCTGAGTTCCAGTAGTTAAATTCTGTGGTGAATATGGGCTTTAGCTCTGAACTCCGGGCTGGTCGTGCGTGTTCAGGGGTTCCTCAGAGACTGGTGTTAAGGCCATTAGGATTTGCCTGAACTTCTCTGTTCAGCCTGATCACCTGCCTCTTGCAGGCCTCTTCTCCATCTTATAAAGAAGCAGGAAAGGTCAAGCCTCGTGAAAGGTCCTGATCTTACCTAAATCACTTCAGTTAAATGATCCTTTTGATTAGATAGAACACTCAGCTTTGAAAGCTGCCATGGATGAAAATGTCTGTCAAGCAAATAACATCAAATCAGCAAATAAACCTTCATGCAGGTTCTCCTCCCACCTCTGCACTCCTCTACTTGCTCAGCTCACTGCATGTGAATCTTCACTTTTCTCTTCCTTTCCCAGGCAGCACTTTGTCAACACGTGTGTCACACTTGGGCACCGTTATGGTATGTAGGGCAGTAAGACTCGCACGCCCATTCGCACAGGTAGAGACCGAGAGCGCGAAGCCAGGGAGAAACAGAGAATGATTTGACAATTAATATTTCACTGAGGTCTGCCACTCGGGTCACCGACGATGAAGAAGGGCTGCCGGGAGGGGGGTGTGACTTTATCGATGCTTAATTTACTAGCCTCCCGTGCTGAAGGTGCCCCCATCTCAGTGCCAATTTCCTTAACGGTAAGAGGGCTAGCTGGTCCTCTTATTTGCCCCCTCCCCCCGTCACTCTCTCAGCCCTCTCCCCCCTTTCATTCTGCCTCTCTCCGTCACACTGACGTGTTGTGACAGGGCAGCGGCAGTGTTGTAGGGGGTTAAATTCGCCAAGTGCACATTATCCTGTAAGACTTAATTCCCAGGTTCGCACAAAAGGCCGGCTTGGAAATTACAGCTCGCGTGGTGCCACACTCAGCATGATGGCCTACAGCCCCCACCCCCTTCCTACTATCACCGGCACACACACACAAACAGCGATACACACGTCCTTACACACATGCCCACCTTACTGGAGGAGAGGAGAGAGCTTTAGATGCCATTACTGCCACACTCCTACCTATCATTTAACGTGTCACAGATGTAGGCAAACGGGTCATGCCGCCCTTCCTCCTCCTCAGTGCTTTCCTCCCTCATTCCCTTCCTCCGTCATTCACTCAATCCCGTGGCTCATTCACCATTTCACCAGCTCTTTCTACACTCATTCTTGCTCCATGGAACTGGGCCACTGACCTGCTCAGTGATTGGGGGGGGGGTCAGTGTCCCTCGGGGGGGTCACCGTGGCCTTTTGAAGCAGGCCGGGGAGACCTGATGAGGAGGATGTGAATTCTGAAGGCCCACACGGTCACCATCAGCATAAAGCCCCTGTTCCAGAAACGGACAGAGGAGGGCGCCGCATACGGCCTTTTGGGACACGTGACGGGGTTAATTTCCCCAAAAAGCAGCAGATCCTGGTGGCCTGGCTGTCAGCAATGTGAAGATGGCGAAGATGCATATATAAATCAGGCCAATAATACGAAGTTCCAGTGAACATGAAGGAATACCAGCATTTCGCTGTTTTTACATCTGTGTATGTGATGGGGCAGCTGGGCGGATTTAGTTACCAGTACATCCCAGTTAGCATGCAAGCATGTTCACGTGTGTCGGTCCGTGAGAGGAGGAGCACCGGCAGGGATGCGGGGAGCTTGTTAGCGTGATGAAGTGTCTGCGTGGACCAGGGGAGCCCGGCCTGTCCCCTCTGCTTTAATAAATCTGTATAGGATGGAGCAGAGGCCATAAAACGTATCGATCGCCATCCCTCACGCCGGGGCTGTGGGGAGACACACCCCCCTGACAGGGATTCCCCCCCCCGACACGTGTGCGGGCAGAAACACACACGCACACACACGCCGGTGCGCAGTCACTCGCTCGCCGCTGACCCTGGCCGATGCCCACAGAGTCGCTGAGTCAGACAGGTCTCTCTGTATTGATGACGCACAAACAGCGACACGCAGGTGGATCTTTATTCACTCGGCACACGGGAGCCCCGGCTGCCACTGACACACACGCGCTCGCTCCTCTATTTACTCAGCCCTCCGTCTCGTCTCACGGAGACACAGCGGTACCAGGAACGCCACTGCAACCCTGTGCTCTACATCCAGGGGTGATTCTAGAAGAGGAATCATTATTCATACAGAGGGACCAACCTTATAAGCCAATTATGTGTTTGTAAATTGTTGAGTGACAGTGGAGGGGGCGTCCCGGGTGCCAATCAGCTTTCATCTGGGGCCAGTGCCCCTGTGGCTCCGCCCCTGTCTATTTCCACTGTAAAACACTCACAAGCACTCCTGTATTTCAGTGAGTTTATGGCCGGGTCAGACTGCCTTTTCTCACGTTGAAGTCTCCTTCACCAAACGTTGACCTAGTACTCCGGTGGGCTCCCACAGGGGGTAGAGTCCCTGTCCACACCTCCGTTCATCACATTACAATTAAAAAGTGCCCCCTCCTTCTGTAAGGCAAGGGCAGCGCGCGCTGTCACATGGGGAAACTGGGACACCGGCACACAGCGAGTCTGGCTGCACTTGCACACTGACACACTTTACTGCAGTCGTGTTGTTGTTATTGCAGACGGTACCGGAGTCCTGCACCAGCAGAAATCCCCACCTGCAGCTGGACTTACTGCCTCCCCCGTGTTTCCTGCTTAGCTTTGAAACTCACAGCCTACACCAAGTGGCACTTATTTCGTTTTTCTAAGTAACAAAGCCGATATTTCCATAATCTACACTACACATCTGCAATCTACACAGAATTAAAATTTATTTACATTGTGGTTAATGGTGGGATGATTTTTCAGAAAAGGAATGAGAATAATATGTCCCAGGTGAAAGTTTTCAGACTTAGTTTGGTATACTCTTTGGTGTTGCTTGAAATATTAATTATATACAATTCAGACGTAGTTGTTTGGTATGTCTTCATTATTTCTGTAATTGCTGTAATTTAAAACTTTGCTCAGGTAGCCTCTTTTATTGGAAAAAATAGTGCAGTAAATGGAGCTAAATGTGTTTTAATGCAGAGTACAGAATGTTCCAGCATATATAGAAATCTGCACGCACACCCAGCTACACATGACGCAGTCTTTATTGCCATGTAAATACAGTACCAGTCAAAAGCTTGGACGCGCCAAACTGCCTGCAAAGGAGAGTGATAGTGTCACATGACCTGACCACCTGACCTAAACACAGTGGAGATGGTTTTGGAGGGGTCTGACCAGAGAATGAAGGAAAAGTGGCCAGTGAGTGCTTAGGATATATGGGACCTCTTTCAGGGCAGCTGGAGAAGCATCCCAGGAGGCCACCTGATGGACCTGGCATAGAGGAGACATTGGGTCAGCCAGTCCCTGGCCCATTTAGGGTTAACAAACAACAAATAACTTGTTTTTTTGTTTGTTTAATACGTTTTTGGTCAGTGCTTGATTCCGTGTTATTTTATAGCCTTGATGTCCTTATAATTATTCTATGTTGTAAAGAATAGTAGAAATGAACGTTTCTGTGGGAAGGTGTGTCCAAACTTTTGACTAGCACTGTAAATCAAAGGTGATCCAATCACTTACTTACGGGAGGCCAACATGGAAGTAATACACAGGTATAACAACCTTTCCTGTGCCTCTCTTGAACTGACAATTCTACCAGGTAACAAAACCTGAAAGATTTTGTGCAGATATCCCGAAATAGACCTTTTAACTGCTGTGTGTGAGTTGGAGTTAGCAATTGTTAATTGCATTAAAATGGTGGGGGGGTCAAAAGGAAGTCCCCGTGAATTTACCTAACCTGTGTGACTCACTAATTTAGGCCACAAGTCAAGTGCCTCCCCCCATTTGAACAATGTTGTTTAATTTTTCTTGTCATTGCAAGACTACCTTTGGGGCAGGAAATTCCAGACAGCGCTTGGGACACGACTTTGTTCTTTTCTTGCCCTCGTTTTTACCTGGAACGGCCAATTAATCCTGCAGTCGGCCTCCCATGACACCCACGCACACCGGAACGCACCTCCTCCGATGTGTGTGCCAACGGCTGCACACTTCCTTCTGTTCCGCGTGGAGAGCCGGAGGAGTGCGCTGGTTGCTCGATTCTACCCACAAGCCAGTAGGAGTCCTAACCAAACGCTGTGGGATGATGAGAGGAAGACGAATATAATGCCCTTGGTGGAACGCAATTTGCTATCTATAATTCAGCTAATGTATGGAATTGGATTTGAGTTCCTACTGTTGGGTATACCCAGTACTACTGAGGTACTGGCTGGGGAAAATCCAAACCATTGCTTTTGATGTGTATACATACATTTGTCAGATATTTATATTTCAAATGAACACTTTTATTTTGCTTTTATCCATTTAAATGAGTAGAAATTTTACATGAGAGTTTTAAACTTTTCTGTGTACCGTGGCGTACGGATATATCGTAGCTGTTCGATGAAAACTATGAATATCCACGTTTGACAATTGTGACTTTGGACTTTTCCATTCATAGTGCAATCTTCTCTGTTTACTGATAACATTTGACATCTAATTGACCAGTGAAAAGCTGTTTTTATCAAGTCATCTATTTAACTAGCATGTATGTTTGCACTAGTTAACTCTGGTATTCATTGTTGGTCATTTGTACGGATTACTTTATATCGCTAATTGGAATAACTTAACATTGCTAGCCAGATAGCTAGCTAACTTAACATCATTGTTAATTTTGAATACAAACTGAGACTTTTTTTGTACGTTGTTGAGACTGACATATTTATCTTGCGGACAACAATGCGTATGAATCCATTTAAAACACTAAACTGTTCACTGATGGCTGTGAAAAAAGGGGTTTCTACTTTTTAAGTGTGTCTCATTGTACTGTTTTAGGTTTTTTTTGTGAAGCAGTTTCTGAGATAATGCATTTTTTCACACTCCTGAAAGTATGGATTTTCATCAGACAGTGACGAAATTCTACAGTGTCTTGCGCGGTTCTGATGTCGCTCGCAGCCCCACAAGAAGCAGCGTCTGCTCAGGCCGCCTGTGCTCATGGTTTTCTCCTCCTGTTGCTCTCTGTGCTGCAGGTAACAGGTTCTTCCTGACGTCCTACGGAGCCCTGTACATATCGGACGTACAGAAGGAGGACGCTCTTTCCACCTACCGCTGCATCACCAAGCACAAGTACAGTGGCGAGACCCGGCAGAGCAACGGGGCCAGGCTCTCTGTGCTGGGTGAGCGTGCCCGAATATGGCTCTGCATGTGTATGATACTGCAGTCGTACCTGCTCGTATGTCTACTGTGGAGCTAAAGAGAGTGATACGTATCTGTTTGCCTGTGTGGGTAAGGTTTCAGCATCTGTTTCTTATTGTATATTTGTGTGCCTGCTCAGAAAAGAGAGGCGTAGACATATGGTGGATAAACAAAATTGATCTCTGACCCCTGACCCCTGGTACTCTACCACAGACCCTACAGAGTCCACCCCATCCATTCTGGACAGCTTCCAGTCAGGGGAGGTGCAGGCGGGACGGAGTGTGGAGATGCCCTGCATCGCTTCGGGATACCCCAATCCCACCATCCGATGGCTGAAGGATGGGCGGCCGCTGCCCACTGACTCCCGCTGGACGCGCCGCCTCACCGGCCTGACAGTCAGCGACCTGAGGCTGGAGGACAGTGGCAACTACATTTGCGAGGTCACCAACAGCTTCGGCTCTAAGGAAGTGACCAGCCACCTCAGCGTCATTGGTAAGCAGGAAGCAGGGGGGACTGTTGGGGGAGGTGGGAGAAATGGGGCATCTGTCACTCTTCGTCAGAAGATCCTGATCGATAGCCAATGAAATGTTTCAGTTCAGTGAGTGACAGGGGAGGAGTCATCCGTAGGCCAATCAGCTTTCAGATGGGGACAGCACCCCTGTGGCCCCACCCCTATATGGCCCCATACACATCTGAAAAATGCATTTGAGGAAGTGGGATAGGTCAGAAGAAAGGAGAGAAACTTTAAAAATGTTTAGGAGGAGTGGAGATGGTTCAGAAAGTGGATTGGGATTAGGAATGGGATTGGGAGTCACTCTGGTTTGTAATACAGATACACCCCTGAATGCCCTGCAAATCGAGCTGTTTATGATCTCATGATATTATTTTCTTAATAGCTCGCAACTTAACACACTTGTCAAACAAATTCCCAGTTTTTTTTTCTAAATCTTTTCATATGGCAGCACTCCATTTTCTTGACACTATAGTAGAATATTTGTTTTTAACCATCTCTGAAAGTCGGCCAACTGTCACTAGCAGTGCATTGTTTGCACACCTGGTACATTTCCTGCTATCACCCATAAACCCTCACTGCCAGATCCTTAGTCGGCTGGTTCTGGAGAAGAGAGAGACAGGGGCAGGGTGGTGGGGGGACACAGAGACGCATTGCCTGTTTGGTCGGGGGTGGGGGCGGCTCACATTTGAACTCGCGGTTGCGTTTGAGGGACTGTGATCTCTCCATGTCTGGTCAGATGGGAGGTCTGTTGCCCGGTTGCCACGGTGATGCACTTTGTGCACATGCCGTCTCGCTCTCTGCCACCGGGATGGACCGAGCATTCTGCAGGACGCAACAATGGCTAGGAGACCCGAGAGCTGGGGAGCAGGGTGTGGACACGCACAAGGGGTCACGCACACTCACAAGCTATGATTATGCTAGAGATGCAGGCAAACGGGAGGGAAGGAGAGAGAGAGAAAGAGTAAGGGAGGGAGGAAAGGACAGAGCCCTCTGCCAGTGGGCACATCATGGCTTCACACTTCCACTGCCTCTGACAGCACAGAGAGGGGGGGTCAGCACGGCTCTACCCCCAGTGCACTATACCAGCTGCCTTATTGCTCACTGATATTAGTTCACACATGTATACACACCTGCATGCGCCAACACAATCATTCACAAGGAGATGCACATATCTGCAAATTAACAGGCAGAGGCACTCAGACATACACAAGAATGCACAACTGGTGCAAAGAATAGATAGAAACACAAAAAAATAAACAAAAAGGGGTGGGTGATTCTAGGATTTTTTTTTAAGGTGGGGCCATAAGACGGGACATAATTCATGCAGAGGGACCGACGTTATCATTAGCCAATAATATTTTTTGACACTTTGACTGACAGGGGATGGGGCACTGTGTGAGCCAATCAGCTTTCAGCTGGGGCTAGTGCCCCTGTGACCCCACCCCTGTATGCAACCCTGAAAAACGGTATAAACGCATGAAACTGTCTTCACCCATTGGTGGTTTTATAAGCTTATACCAACACACTTATAACAAATGTACATGCTCGTCCCACCAGAGCCCCTGCGAGTGACCCTGGCCCCCAAGAACCTGAAGACGGGCATCAGCAGCACGGTCATCCTCACCTGCGCCGTGCAGGGCTCCCCTGAGTTCACGGTCACCTGGTTCCGCAATACCGAGCCCGTGACCCCCGACCAGCATTTCTCCATCCAGGGGGCCCACAATGAGACCCTCTTCATCACCGCGGCCCAGAAAAAGCACTCGGGCGCGTATCAGTGCTTCGCCACCCGCAAGGGCCAGACCGCTCAGGACTTCTCCATAATCCTGCTGGAGGGTAAGAGCTCGCCAGTAGAGCCACCGCCAGCAAATCAACATGCCATGTTTTCCTATTTTTAAATCGCTATGTTGGTGGAGCTATATTTAAAAGATCTTAAAGGGTAACTGTAATTGTTTCCTAGACTGATCATTCTTGTGCCCAATATATCGACTTTCCTGATGTTATTAACTAGGGAGCTATGGAACTATAGTTCTTAGATTGCATCAAATAATAGAGTGGTTTTACACAGCAGCGTAGGAGGGACAATAAGGTTGGCAGATGTATGCTTTTATATGATGGAATATGCCTTTTGAAGTAGGGCCTCCATTAGTCGGGCTCGGCTTCGGCTTCAACTCAGCGGGTTAGGACTCCGTGCCCGTGATTGGAAGGTCGGCAGTTCAAATTCCAGGGCTGCTAGAGTCATGCCACCACTGAGCCCTTGAGCAAGGGCCTTAACCTCCCGCACTGGGGGTGGTGCACACTGGCTGACCCTGCATTGTCACCCCCAAGCTTGCTCTCACCTGTTTATGTCTCGGTGTGTCTTGTGGAGAACAAGACATGGTACGCGAAGAGACTATTTCTCTATGGTTGATGAATCATGCATTATTCTGTTCTAAAATGTTGGGTGGCCAGTAGGATTCTCTAGATGGGTGTGTTTGGGTATAAGTTCATCATGGTTTTTGGTTTGCTTCTATAGTCGTGATTTGCCCGACACTGAGGTCGAGCAGGCCTTGGGGTTCCGGTCTGCTGGTAAGACTGATAGGTTGCAGGTCCATGTTCTTTGACCTGCAGCAGCAGTTTGAATTAGCTTCACATTCGTGCTGCTCTAATGGTTTGGTCGCCCTTCCCCCCCAGACGGGACGCCCCGCATCGTCTCCTCCTTCAGCGAGAGGGTGGTGGCCCCCGGGGAGCCCTTCTCTCTCATGTGCGCGGCCAAGGGCGCGCCCCCGCCCACCATCACCTGGACCCTGGACGACGAGCCGGTGGCGCGCGACTCGGTGCACCGGACCAGCCAGTACACGCTTTCGGACGGCAGCACCGTCTCCCATGTCAATGTGACGAGCCCTGAGATCCGTGACGGGGGCGTGTACCGCTGCTCAGCCCGCAACTCTGCCGGTAGCGCCGAGTACCAAGCGCGCATAAACGTAAGAGGTGCCTGTCTACTTTTCAATATCAGCCATAGGGTTCCCCTAATGCTACCCCCCAAACTGTGTGTGTCATTGTGATGTGGGAGGGGGGTTGTGGCTTATCTGTCCTCTATCCTTTTCCATCTCTGTCTTTTGTCATTTCTGCACATCTCATCCTTCTCATTCTTCTTTTCTGCTTGCTGACTCAGTCCCTTTTGGTTGCTTCTTCTACCTTCTCTGCTATTTCTATATTGGTACTCCTGCTCTCTCAACACATGTCCTGCT